TTCTACTCCTGAGAAGGGCAGCGGATGCAGATTCCGCCTCCTCCGCCGACACTAGCACGGAGACATGTGGTCCCGAAGACACCACCGGAAGATGCGAGAGACCTGCTAGTGATGTTACCACTACCACTCTACCCATAGTTCTAGGAGTGGTGTATGTTGCTCTTTATTTTACTCCTCGACCTTCCCCCCCCCAAAAAAAAAAAAAAAGAAAAAAAAATCCGAAAAATTATCAAGAAAGGGAGAGAACGGAAGGAGAACGGAGAAAAAGGGAAACCCTGCTAATTGTTACCTATAGTATTCCCCTTACCATTGCGATTCTCGTACTCGTCTTTTTGCACCGTCGCCATATCAGAAAGTTACGGTCGGAAGATGCAAATGATAAACATAAATCTCTGGACTTCGGCTTGGATGTCGTCCCCTCGGGCAACAAGAAGAGGGGTCGAGGGCGGAAGGGCGGAATGGAAATGACCACCGCCGACGCGGAAAAGTCAGTTCGTCGTAATGATCGTGGTTTGTCCATGGACATCACCATGACTAGCCCTTATCTCCTACCGCCTGCTCTCAATGGTTCGCACGATTCGCTACACTCCTTGTCAAGATCCGTCCATGCCGATGACGACAGATACCGCACCGCAACAGCCTTTTCAGCCGGCGATAATTCATCCATGCGGTCATTCACTAGCAACTTGAAGCCGTTTCCGGATGATTCTGTCAGTTTTACAGGCATGAGTAGTCGCCATGCTCCACCTGGTGATGAGATGCATGCCAATCTCCTTCGAAACGCGCAGCGCATGTCTAGAGCGAGCCCTCCTCCCGGAACTGCCACGCATTCAATTGGGTCAAGCCAGAGTCACAGGAGCCCTCCGCGCAAGTTGACAACACCCACCCCCAATATTGTATCCGATCGATCCGGCATCCATTCTCCAGACCGGTCACTTGCGCCCAAGAGCATTTCCACTCCTGGAAGTGAGCTCAGGAAGAGCAATGATTACCTGGGCGCTCTCATCCAACGAGGTACAACTCCAGAAACCAGTGACCGTAACTGGCCCTCTCCTGCACAAGGCGAAGCCATTTCTCAGAACACCCAATCTGATGAATTGTATCTGACTTCTACCCCTACGGTTCACCCCCCGTCATTCGACCTTCCGGATCTAGACAATGTCCTTCCTGAATCAAATTCCTCGTCGCAGTCACACTCTCACGCACCGCCAGCCTTGATCCCACACCCGGCTCCGACCCCGGGCTCAGCCCCGGTACTGCCCCGTATTTCTCTGCCATCAGACGATGACCATAGCGACTATGGAGACGACAAAAGAAATTCAACTTCAGTTCTACCGCAAGTGAACGTGGATACCTCTGAGTCAAACACACATCAACCGGACAAAAACGGTCGTCTGTCTACCATGTACGATTTCCCAGATGACCAAGGATACACGTTCGACTCCCGCCGTCTTACAGTTGGTATCCGACCACTGCCACCAGAAGATCCTTCGGACAACCCCGAACAACGAGCCAACCGCATCCGATCATTTTACAAGGAGTACTTTGATGAGAGCAACAAACATCATCCTCCGCAAGAGGAATATTACGAAGACTACGGCGAAAATGACTATCACGAAGACATGCTGTACGACCCAGCCTACCCTGATCCCTACTATGGCGGCAGCGATGATATGGGTTTCTACCCACCAGAACCACCCCCATTCACCCAGCCTATGGGACGCCGTGCCATGACTCCGCCACCTCGAATGCCGCCAAATTTCTACACCCAACCATCGCGCCAACAAGGCGCCTCATCCGCCTTTGGCTATGCAGCAAGCCACAGAACATTCTCTACAACGTCGGGCGATCCAGGACCCCGTGCAAACTCATCGATATCTAACAGGGGACCGCCAATGCCACAGAAACCCCAATTGCGGCCACCAGGCCCCCTCCACGTCCTCCCCAGCGCGCATAAGCTCAAGGATGACACCATGGTTCTCCCCATCGATTACGCCCCCGGTCCCACCGCGAGTGATCGTCGAGCAGGTCGTTCTGAGACACCTCGCGGGGGACTTCGACCGTATGTCCCCGTACGCGCGGCGAATATCGCTCTGGCGTCTTCCTATGATGATCTCGCAGCCATGCCTAGTCCGTAAGTGCCCCTTCACATCATTGAAATATTGATATATTGATATATACAGTGCCAGGCCATAAGTATTGGCAACCCCCACCACAATTATTGTGTCTTTGGGTGGCAGAAAAGTAGTGGGGGTGGCCAATACTTATGGCCTGGTGCAGTGTATATATACATATACATATACATCTATTTTTATTATATAAACTAACACATTACCCCAGCTATGTCGTCCGCAAATCTGGTACCTTCACTGCCCTCGACTTCGCACCGCCCCCGCGCTTCAGAAATGCAGAAACAGCCAG